GAAATAACGGCGGGCCGCTGTCGTTATATACCTACCTCGCTTCTCGTCCCCCGTTCGAACGGACCCACCCCCGAGTCTCGATCGCTCCTTCCTGGAACCCGGAGCACTTTGGCCCGGCAAAGGGTTACGGTCCGGGGATTTCTCGCCGAGGGGGACGCCCTTTGTCCGGGTCCAAAGGGCCCTTTGGTCCCTTATACGATATGACCCCGGTACCGTGCAGTAAATTCGGACGACCTCGGACACGGCACCGAACGGTTACCTACTGGAAAATGGCCAGGGATCTGCGGAGTGGGCCACCGGGACACCGGGACACCGGGGGCGCCACTCGGAGAATCTCGACACGCAAATGTCCTAAATCAACGGCGCGTGCCTTCCTCCCCGTCCCCTCCGTGCCGTCGGTTCGGAAGAAGACTACCGCGGACCTCCGTCGAGCCCTCCCGAGTGGGAGGTCGTCGCTTCGGTGCGACCGGCAACGAGACCCGTCCGCCAGATATGTTCGATATTCGAGCAATCCACCGCTCGAGTAGTCGTTCAGGGAAATCGGAAGGTACGGTATTCGGTGTCGACGTTCGATATCGATACGCTTCGGAGGGATCGCTAAGCGATATCGATATCGTGCCAGCGAAGCAAGTGTCGATGCTATCGCGTGCAGCGCAAACATCGTTCTTCACGATATTTGCCGTTTTCGACGTCGTATGGACGCCCCCGAGTCGTCGCCTTTTACTCGCACTTTTACCGCGAACGTCCAGCTTGTCATGGTATCGGGAAGGCATGGATGACCTTGTCCGGGAGGGAGTTCGTCGCGTCGTCTATATTGCTTCTTTTCTCTTGGCTCGATTCGACCCAAGTTTGCACGCCGCACTCCACGAGAAAATGAAACGAAAAAGTTTCTTCGGCGACGAGGCCAAAGTTCTTTGCTATCGGACGATTTCGTTTCCGCGTCGGGTCGGGTCGGGTCGGGCCGGGCCGGGCCGGGCCGGGCCGGGCCGGGCCGGGCCGTGCCGTTCCTTTTCCAGGCTGCCGCCAGAAGGCAACTTTCTTCTGACATAATCGAACGAAGGCGCGGGTCTGCGTTATGCAATTGGAAAGTGCCCGCCTTACTTTACGTATCGAGAAGGTACCGAAGGAGCAAGCGCCAGCCCTCCCTGGCGCCAGTGAGGCCGGCCGTAGAGCTTTTCGAGGGCTGTCGAGCTCGTTCCCGACGAGAGGCGGAAGCCTCCGGTCCGACCGTAAATTGGGTGAATTGGAGGTCAACGTGGACCCCGAGACGTTGCGGCGCGACCCACGACTCGGAGCAGGGTAGGGGAGACTCGAGCGACGCCTTGAACGACGCGAGCCAACAACTTTTTCGTGCATTCGAAAGCGGCCGTGGACCCGTTTGAAGATTTCCACGGTGCACGATGACACAACTTGTTGCATACCGTGCCCGTTCCACCGTTATCTCGAAAGCGTCGGTTACCGCGAATCAAAAATGATGGATGCGGCCGGATTTTCGTTCCGACTCTAGGACGTGCCACGGGCGTTTAAACGTTTCGACTTGCGTCGCGTTGGCGCGGATTGCGCAACCGTTACAGGACGGTCTTACGTTACACTCGAGCGTTAAGTGATACATTAAACGGCGTGGAGAAATGCATGCCGAGCAGCCACAAAGGCGAGTATCTGCGAGCGAGCGAGACTCCAAGGGGGGTGATACGTGTACACAATGTAGTAAGAGTTAGCGAACGGTGAAAGTGAGCGCTGCTTTCCCCCGTCTCCTTTAAACGCATGTATTACAACGTTACGTCAGATCCGCCCCCCTTCTCTCTCAGTTTGCCGTCTCTTCTCGTTTCTCTCCTCGCTCGGCCACGAATGTGCGCCGCCGCTGAGAAATGAAGCTAATTTTGATCCGTTCCGGCCTAGATGGTTCCCGTTTCATATTTTTCATCGCCCACTGGAGAAAATTCGCAATTTTCCAAAGCCATGGTGCAGGGAAAAGAAAACGTTAGTTTTATCGTTCCGGGCAATAACGTATCAGCGAACAGTTCCATTACCGTATCCAATTAGACGAGAAAAGTGCAATAAACGAAGCGCTTCCGTTAGTTGAGCATTTAAGAGGAGCTTCGAGGGGTTATTCGCTCAGGAAATCGTCGTAAATCACCGAAATATTGACACAAATTACTTCTTACCAAATCACGTTGTTGCTTATACGAAATGAAAGGCAATCGTTTTCACCGATTTCCGAGTGAATGGACCCTCGAGGAGTTTCCTCGGCATGGGACTCTTTCGTTCTCCATGGAAGAGGAAGATAGGAGACATCGATGGCAGCCGAATATTAGGCAATCTAACGCGTCCAAGGCTACCGGAGCCTTGAGCCACCTTTCGAAGCGTTTCACTGGCCCGACTCGCGTCGCAGCCGTTTCTACCGAAGGCGACGCGAAGGTCGATCGTCGGTCTCTAACGATATTCGAGCGGGTCCTCTCAAAATTGACCAATTTTCATCCAAGGAAAGGAAGGCCTCTCCTTTCCGGCCGTCCGTTTCCACACCTTCGTCCCCTCCGTTACGGTCTTACCATACGTCGAGAATTTCGCTTTCCAGGACCGCCAGCGCGTTCGCCGGCCGACGGTCGCGTGCTTCGTTCGACTAGGATCGAAGGAAGAGAGGGGCAAGGGGGGACGAGAAACGGAAGAGAAAACGGAAGAGTGGGCAACGGTAGCGGTGACGCAACCGGTCCAGTCCCGTTTGCTCGCTCTTCCTCGGCTGGGCAAGACGTCGAAACCTCCAACTGAAGTCCGCTTCCTCCGTCGGCAGCTGGGTGCATCGAGAATCGGCTCCTGCGATAATGCGCCCTATGGAGAGTGGGTGTCGATGATGCGTCGTACTCGAGATGTTCCGAGCGGCGGGCCGAGCTTGGCCGAGCCTGGCCGAGCTGAACCGCACCGCTCCGCTCCGCTCCGTGCCACGCCGCGCCGAGTTATATACTTTGTAACAATGCTCTCGACTTTCTCCGTTACTTTCGTTTTCGTGTCTCCGCTGGCTCGGCTCTTTTGGTTCGGTCGGATTAGGAAACGGTGCGTTGCGTATTTCGGTCGTTCCACTTCTTTGGGTTCATTTTTGCTATTGACAGAGAGCAACATCTACCGTCCATCCGTACCGATGTACCAAAGCTTACATCGGACGAGGGCAACGACCGCAAAGGTCCTGGAATAGGGCTCAAATCTTGACGTACCGCCAGAAAAATGAATGATTTTCGGTTTTCAGTTGGCGTACCTCATGTATACATTTACTTCTGAAGAGGCGCCGATAGAGCCCATCTCAGGATCCGTCTTTTCTTTTATTTGTGCTTTTTTCCTTTTCGCTTAGGAAGCTTTTTAGAATTAACAACGCTGGGATGACTACTTATCGGGGCATTAACATCACGCATCGACGGTTCCAGAGTTGTCGTTAGTTCACTCACAACTACTAGAAGTCTTGAAAACACTTGCAATCTTATCGGAACAGTATTTTACATGATGGAAACACATAGTCGTATCCGCTAACCTCGAATTGTCTTAGGTTGCCATCGATGGACTAATCTTCAAAACGTTCTAAGGACTACTGCGCTATAATACGAATTATTTACATAACAATTAGTTAAATCAATTGAAACTATATTAAAGGATATCTTTACTTAAATTATTGAAACAATATGAAACATTTACCTAACCTACGTAAAATTACATTCGGTATAATATTCCACCATACCGAAAGTCCTGATGTCACAAACCTTGGAATCGACACCTTCCATTAACGGATACACATCGTCGATCATATCTTGCCAACATTCCTTGGATTAATAAATTCGAAATAGAATTAAGGGTATCATAAATTAATAAATTAGGAGATAAAACATGAATTAAATAAAACCATACATAACCGACAAAACGACGGACAACTACGTCATCGCCTCATATGGCAGCTTCTCGCACCCGCAATATAATTCCAAGGTGAGGCCATTCTTAAATTCTAAGTTAAATTTGAAACAAAATAATTACTATCCTACCTAAAACCCATATCCTGCATGGAGTCCACCAACGGGTAACAGATAGAATGGAAAGTAAGCGTCTAAAGGTATTAGCGCCATCTCCTGACGCGGAACACATCTATTTTAAGGATACGTATCAGCAGAGATGGTATCAGAGATGAGTTGGGAGACTGAGCGTATATTACGCATTTTTGACGAGCACGCTCACTTCTCGCACTTCCATCTCACATGGGTTTATTCGTCGAATTCCGTATTCGCTATATGAAAGAACGAGATCACTAGAACATCCGGTGTAGTAATATTCAAAGAAGGGTATATACCAGAGATGAGTTGGGAGATTGCTCACGGGCAGGATCGCGCGATCGCATCGTGTGCTGCCCTCTGGTTGCGTACGTTAGCTTTCACGGTCATGGTATTACCATCACGAATACGTGAGCCGTTAACGGCAACTGGTAGATGGCACAGCCATCGCGAGTGCGCGAGCCCGTCCCAGAAATTCGTTGCGCCGCCCTTGGGGGCAAAAAACGGTGAAAGCTAACGTACGAAACCAGAGGGCAGCACACGATGCGATCGCGCGACCCTGCCTGTGAGCAATCTCCCAACTCATCTCTGGTGGTGAATGCATTTGCCATCTGATGCCCCCCGCTCCCCGTGACGACCCAACTCATTAATTAGGAAAAAGTCCATTTAAATGTTGAATCGACAAAATATATTCAATAACTAATGATATGCTTGTTAGCCGACATCGGTAGAATCAGGGCATTGGTCATCTTCTAGTTTCAATTCACTGTTCGTTTTATCGTTTACAAACAATGAAAAAAGTCCTAAGGAGCAATTGAGAGATAATAAACCGTAAGAACGTAAAGGAAGTAAATTCCGAAAGAAATTCATTTACCCCGGTATTTATACAAAATATTACAATATATTCCAATTCACATGTTAGACTTAGAATTTTACACAGCTTCATCAAAAATATATTAGACCATGCCGGATGCCCAACTAGTCGTACATATGCGAATAGTATTCCTGATACGTTTGAATATAAGCCTCCTTTTCCGCAGGTGACATTTCTGAAATTAGGGTATCATTCACATCAGTGATAGCAACAGTTTTCCCACCGACACTGACCGTGGGCACAAGATCCTCGTCCTCGGATTCCATCATTTCAACTTCACCTGCAGACAAACATATTTTATTAACCTCCTTTTCTGCCTTCACAAATAAAATTAATTAAATAGCTGATCGCTTTGATAGCATGTCTTTTTATACTTCCACCGTCACATTAATCTCATTTAAAAACAAGTCATTTAGTAGTCATGGGACCTTCATAATATCAAATGTTAAACATAAGCAGAAAAAAATTAAAATTGAATTAATATGTCTTGTGCAAGTTCAATTTTCATTTAAAGCATTTGGTTTCGGGAGCATGAGTTAGTTACCTGTGTCGGCAGCTTGCATTTCCGAAATATCTTCATTGTCACTACTGTCGCTTGATTCTTGGGGTATGACAGACTTTACGGCATTGGCAGCATTGGCACCTTTCTTTTCATGTGCCAAGAGTACGGACATAATGTCTTCACCCTGTTTGTTGTTCGTCACAGTGTTTACATTTGTGGCAGTAGCAGCAGCTTTGTCTAATATGCTCTCTTGTGTATTGACACCGTCGGGCTGAGTAAAATAATATTAAATAACGTATAGAAAAACAATTAGATTGCAATACAGCGTTAAACCTGACTGAGATAGAAACTATTACATTTGTGTAATTAAAACGTATACAAAGCACTCACCTGTGATCCATCGGAATTGAGCACGGTACTCTCCATCATCCAGATTGGTCTCTCCTTTCGACGGTTCAGAGCATTATCATTTGCAGATTCGTCACCGATAGTAACATCCACTCTGGTATCCTCGACCATGAAGCCTGAAGATCTTGTAGCTTCTCCGGACCATTGCTCACCAGGTGCTCGCAAGCCACTTGCTTTCTTTGCATCGATTCTGAATACATAAGACAAAACGGGCTGTTCGAGTCAAGCAATAATAAGTTTAACAACAAACAAGTCAAGTCAGGCAATAATGTTAGTGCAAATGATATGCGGTAAGTTAATATTTTTTTCATACCCCTTAATCGTATTAATGTCCACAGGCTCTGGTTCAAGTATTTCTGGAGCTAACTTGATGCCTTCGACTTCCCGCAAGAGAATGTACAATGGTTCTAATTGTTCATTGAATTTTGCCAACAATAATCTAGAATCTTTCTTTGGAAGAGCTGACTGATCCTCTTCTACGATTTCTCGACAATATGTACACCTAAATTCACCGGTTAGTATGTCGAACAGTTGATCTGCCTGTAAAAAGTTCTTTTAATATATATAATGAATTATAAAATGACTTGTCCAAATCACACTCTTAAGATTATGTAACATGCAGAATACATAATCCCACTATAATTTAAAATGGTCTGAAAATGTTACACAAACGGTAAGTTGAAAAATGAGTAAATATGATCATTTGGAAATTCCATTCACTGATTATGTACTTACTTCAAGATCGGTAAATGTCTTTAAACATTGAGTGCACTTGAAACTGGCTCTGCTGGTTGCATCGCGTTCCTCTGTCTCTAATCGCTTCCTCATTAAATCTAACTTGTACTTCACCACATTTACAAATGTCTAGAAATAATAGTTAAACGTCATGTCGTTAATGTAGACGTAATGACCAATTTAACACATTCTTCCTAATTGACTCACCTTATAATTAATGAAGTAATAATTAACTTTTTGTGCTTTTCCATCAGAACCAGTTTCCATCTTCAACCTTACTTGTATAAACTTGTCATTGCGCAATATAGATATCCTTGCTCGTAACATTTTTCGTTCAAACTTCAATAATTCACATATATCATCTTCCTTCATACCTAGAACAAATGAATGCGATTATAATCAAATATATTTTAAACTAATATATGCGCTTTTAAAGGACACATCGACTTACAAGGATTCCTAACTAACATGTCGATGATCAAAGCATCTTCTATAGTGTAAAATCCACGAACCACCAGTCGTGCTAATTGTTTTAAACTGCTTGGAACTTCCGTCACAAATCTCTCCTCGGTGCTCATCCTCTGTGCTAACTAATATCCAGTGCCACACCTTAACATATCAAAAGAAAGCGAAAATGGTTGTTCATGTATTTCCAATTATGACAAAATAATAGGAGACACGAGGTATAAACAAGCAAATAATGTCACCAAAGACAATCATGGAACGTAATTAAGGTTTGATTTTTATTTTTGTACTTATGATTACATCCTTCCTTATTTGATGTCGACTCGATTGAATATTTCAGCGTTGTTCAGTTTATACAATTTAGTTTAATAAAGAAAATTCTACATAAAAATTACACGATGAGAAAAACAATGTTCCAAAGTGACATGTGAACAAAATGAACCCAACCTCTAAATGGAGCGGTTTCAAAATCATTTATTTAAAAGATAATCACTTATTCAAATCAATAAACAATAATTACAATGCTAAATATACAATCTTAAAGGAAAATACATCATACACCTAATTGTTGAATAATCCTTATAAATCAACAAAGCACAACATGCTAACCTCTAAGAGCACCTATCTCACTATTGTGATATTTATTCCCACATACTAAATAATGGCCAATAAATGATTGGCTCTTTAATTCGCGTATTCCAGCTGTGCTAACAATTATTAAACAGCAATATTTCTGACATTATTTCGATAAGTTATTCACGATTAAGCATCGACCCATCAATGACACTTGTTTACCACCGTGAAATACCGCGAGAAATTCGGACTAATTTGAGGTTAGATTTATCTCTACGACACTCGGGGCGCGCGGCGGAACGGCGCAAACAAAGCGGATTAGAGCAGGGATGAGTAATTCCCCATTTTTCGAGGTTTTACACGTGTATTACGTACACAAAGTAGTAATCGCCACGCCATTTTATCGCTCGATCAAGCGAACGATTTTTCGAAACCTTAAATTCCGCAATTTTTCAATACAGTGATATTGCTATCTACTTTACGATGCCCTCGTAAAGTATTGTAAAATAAGTATGACTATTGCAACAATGTACCGAAATACGTTAACGGCCTAATATCGATATTAATTACCGCACCTTGACGTAATAAATTTATAGGGGGAAAAATATACAAAAAGAAGTATATGAAAAAAAATAAGATTCGCCATGAGGTCATTCCTGTTAAGACTAATAATCTGTCAAGGACAGTAATGCATTCTTATCGGTCGAACAATGCCGATCTGACGGAATAAGGCGAAGAAATGTTCCGGCTGATATCTATTAGATAAGATCATTGCCTGCCAGCTATTTTGTCCATGGACAAATGACCAGTTGGTACCGACATTCGATAAATCGAGGAGCGTTCCATCTAACAAAATTCCCTCTCGATCCGGATAACGATGAAATAATTAGAATACTATAATAATTCTTCCGCGGATACGGTTTTCTCTCGTTGGAGCAATGTCACGGTGACTCGTTTTGGCAAACAATCATGAAATTTTTCTGGCTCCACAAGTCCAGACACGGCAGTGTCGATTTGGCGTCAGTTTCGGAGGTCCAGACAGAGACGGTTCACCAGATTTACAGAAGACTCTCCAATGGCCGCAAAGCTGGAGTTTTTGGCGAGATGGATTTCTCGTTAACAACGGTGCCAACATTCCATAAAAATTCGGAGTAAGTGGGGATATTGATAAATGATGAACAACGTCCAGTCGGTCGGCGCTCCGCCAGCTCCGCGAGTCCGCCGGAAATGGCTCGATAATGAATTTCGAAGGGTCATAAATAGTGGAAAGAAATGTCGAAAAATGTTCATTTCCCCAGCACGGCGAAACGTCTCAAGGCGGCTATCATGAGGAATGAATTTTTGAGCAACTTTAGCGAGCCTAGAATCGTCTCTCTCGTCTCGGCCATGTATCCTCAAGATGTTGCTCCCGGGACGAGAATTATCACGGAGGGTGACATCGGTGAGAAATGAATTCTTTCACCACTCGAATGGACTGATTCGAAAATTCCTCCCGAAATTAGGATCCCATCTTTACGTTTCGGAGGAGGGTGAATTCGAAATTTACGAGGGCACTCGGTATCAAGGAAAATTCGGGGCTGGCGTCGCTTTTGGAGAACTGGCCTTACTGTACAATTCCAAAAGATTGCGCTCGATAGACGGTAATACTAATGAATAATCATTCAAATCACCCTTTTCAACGCTAATTGTCCTACCAAATGTTTCTAGCCAAGACAAAAGGCAGATTGTGGGTCTTGGATAGGCCCGTTTTTATAAACGTCATGATAAGAACTGCCCAAAAATGCATGGAGGACAACAGCAGGCTTCTTCGACGGATTTCGGCCCTGAAGGCCCTGCCTGAGCACATCCTGAAGAAAATATCCGACCTGATGAACATCGTGACTATTTCTGACATTTCTATTTCAATGATAAATATATCCAGAAGAGGTGACTATTGACAACCCGTTTTTTCAGGAATTCTTCCCAGCTGATTCTTACATCCTGCGCCAGGGAGAGCCTGGCGAGAAATTCTACATAATTAGTGGCGGCAGGGTGAAAATCACCAAACAAACCGAGTACCTAGACGAGGCAGAATTGACAATCCTCGGTAAAGGGGATTATTTTGGGGAAAAGTCACTGTACAACGAAGAGGAAAACCTTCGCGAAGCGAACGCCATCGCTTTGTCTCCTGGAGTGGAATGTTTCACCATAGACAGAACGTACCTGGATCGTTAATTTGCTTCATTAATTTCGACTGTCCCCGTCCGCATATTAATTTTCCAAAAATCGGTAAAAATCCTGCAGGTCGTTCCTGAATTACCTGGGTGGGCTGGAAGTGATCAGGAATAAAAACTGGACGGAGGAATATGAAAAACGTAAACGTTCCCTGGAAGTTCACTGGAATAAGGAATTTTCAGAGCTGAAGCTTACAGATTTGTACGTTCACGCAGTTTTAGGAGCAGGTGCGATGGGGACGGTTGAACTTGTAGTGCCAAAATCCTCCCCAAAAGTCAGTTTCGCTAGAAAGAAGATAAAAAAATGCGCGATCACTGCCATGGGTTGTCAGAGAAGCGTCTACAATGAGAAGTACATCATGCAAGTCTGCGACTCTCCGTTTATCTGCAAGTGAGATTAAATTAATTAAACAATTAATAGTATCCAGGAATTATGATCACCCAAGCTCTTTCATTTTCCCAGGCTGTACCAAACGTTCAAGGACAATAAATACGTGTATTTCTTGATGGAGGCTTGTTTGGGTGGCGATTTATACACGACTCTTCGAAGAAGTGGACGATTTGATAATTCAACTGCAAAATTTGCAATCGGGTGCACTGTCGAAGCTTTGGATCATCTCCATTCTCTGGATATCGTGTGTCGAGATTTAAAACCGGAGAACATCATGGTCGATGACAAGGGCTACCTGAAACTGGTAAATAATAATGTCTTAATTTTTTAATTTAACTGGGCAATTTATTTTTTGTTTAAGTATTCTCTTCCCTGAAGACAGACTTTGGCTTCAGCAAAAGGATAGGTCCCTATAAGACGTGGACGTTTATCGGGACTCCTGAGTACATGGCTCCTGAAATTGTCCTCAATGAGGGATACGACAGGTAAGACGTTAAATAATTTTATTTAATTTATTATATTATTATTTTATTTAAAGAGCCGTGGATTATTGGTCGTTGGGAGTTCTGGTCTACGAATTACTTGTTGGGCGACCGCCCTTCCAAAGTAAGGACGCCATGGTGACTTATAACAAAATTGTCAAAGGCATGTCCACTGTCGATATCCCCAGTTTTGTTAAACAAAAGGGCGAGCAGCTTATCCGGAAGCTTTTGCGAAAAAATCCAGTCCATAGATTGGGTAACCTGGAGGATGGAATCGAGGGAATTCGGAATCACAAGTGAGGATATTGATTTCCGAACTTAATGATTTTCATATTTATTAATTTGTCGGTTAATTGATTTATCTGCAGGTGGTTTGGTTCTTTCGATTGGCCGGCTTTACGGGCCCTCTCGTTTCCGTCACCTCTTGTTCCAAAGGTAAGCGATTTTTATAAGGAAAAAAACAATTGAAAAATTCAAACAGGGTTTAATCTACAGAAGGTAATCATTTGTCAATTTACCAGGTGAACAGTCATCTCGATACGAGGAATTTCGACAGATTCCCTCCTGATCGAGAAGTCCCACCGAATGACTACTCGGACTGGGACGCGGAATTTTGAATGTTTTTATCCCTACTTTTTGGAATCGATTACCATTAGGAAGTACCATCAATCGGAGCTTTATCGCGAGTCTTGATTATCAGCGTCGGGGGAAAAGACCTCCAAAATCAAACTTCACCACCTCGGAGCATCCGATGGTCAGAGGAGACTTCAACATTACCGACTCCAAGAATCACACCGGCCTGTGATAACAAATCACTTTACGGTAAACAGTAAAAAAAAAAAAAAACACCCGCTAACTTCGATTAATTTGCATAGATTTGGAAAACAGTGCGTCACTTTACTTACAGGCCGGCGTAACGAGTCGCTAAGTTAATAAACAGGTAAAACCGAGTAAAACGCCCCCTCTTCCCCTTTCATCCAGTGAATATTCCCTGCTCCACGAAACCAGTCTTTTTCAACTAGCGAATAATTCCTGGGAATAAAAATCGAACTGATTAGAATGTTGCGTTAAAGAAAGTACCTCGATATCTCAGCCGGCATTATCTCCCTACAATAAATCGTAGCATGTAAATGATTATGCAATACCGTTTAATAAAATTCTCAGGGTGGGGGATACCTTTTCGAAGGTATAGGGCGCGTTTAAATGAATTCAACGATTTGCAGGGTGGGTTTTCACGCGAGTATAGTCAGCGAAGCAGGCTGCACGTCCGATGGAAAACGAGCCTCCACGGGGTGCCAGGGGAAATTCCTCGATGTTCCTGGGAGCGTTCGATACCTTAACTACCCTCTCCAGTCCAATCTAACCTCAAACCTGGTCCGACCGCACATCACCTAACCTCAACCCGGTCGTCCGCGCGTCAGCTAACCCCGCTTACACCCCCGTCGCCGTTATACTGCCGCCATTTGAACCCCGCACCTGCGAGGCAAGATTCATGCAAATTGGACTCGCGCCGATAATCGAGAAAGTCATTCCGCAGAGGAGTTGCAGATTTTCCCTTGTCTTCCCCAAGTTCCCGCAATTCCAGAAATTCCCAATGTACAGAATCCCACAGGTTCTAGGAGACTATTCGAATCTTATTTTATAGAATAAACGATTGGATACGTGATTCCAAGATGGCGGCCGGAACGAGATATTCGAATCGTTTGAAATTCGGGGACTCTATCGAGATTCTTGGCGGGCTGCTTCATGGTAGGGGTGGATTTACGATATCTTTTTCCTCCTCTTTTTGAGGGGCGAGTCTCATTCGCCGACGTAAATCCGAGTCGGAGGAATCTATGAACAAAAGTGGAGCCACTTAGAGGCGCGGGAAAGTGGAATTTATGGGAGCCGCGGGAACGTGAATGCGCGTCACATCATAAATTCCGTGGGAAAGCGCGGGTCTGGGGCTGAAGGTACTAACGATATTGCGGGAACCTGCGAAAACTGCTGCCCCGTCTGGGGAGGTCCCTAGGGACTCTAGGATGCCGAGCGCCCGATAAAGACCACTCTTCCGGGATCATCTCGCGACCCCCCGTGAAGAATCTCCTCTGGACATTTTTTTACCTACTTTTTACCCCCCATTTATACATATAACCCCGTATATCTCTTATAAGACGTTATATCCGCGTGCCTCCATTCGTATAAACTGCTGAAACATTTTTCTTCGTATTTATCTCGGCTGCTCCAAATTGTGGCATTTTTTTCCTTTAATATTTTCTATTTCTAAATTGCCGGTATATATTTTTTTTCTTTACTACCCTGTTTTTCTCGAAAATGCGATCGACTCGACTCGAGGATAAATTCCCGACGATCTGGCGTATCGTTTCCGATAAAAAGTCAATTTCAATCGGCCCGAAGAGACGTCGCGAGACGTTCCGAAGAGTATCGTGGAACGCCCGCGGCCGTCGACGGAGGTCAGGATTATAATATTTCGCACGACTGCGTTCAATTTCAATATTCCCGGGGCCGGTCAATGTGTCGGGCGAATCGACGTCTAACTACTTTTCCACCGAGAAATTCCCCGGAATTTCGAGACCGGTCCAAACTTCGTACCTACATATTCCAAGCCAGCCTCATCAAGCTGGACTGACGTAGAAATTAAAAGATACCCTTCATATCCAAATTATTAATTCCACCCATTAACTCCACGGTCAAATTTCAATTTTGGAATTTTTATGAAATGGAGAAATGTTTCATATACAATTGTACATGCAAGGGAAAAATTGTAGGATTTTAAGGCTTCTCCATGGCGATTTTTCTCTTCCCCATTTAAGGGTGGCTCGACAGGGGGCTGGACGAATTCGCAAGGAGAAACCCTTCTTGTTGGGGAATATCTTGATGGGCTTTCCGACCAGAGGGGTTATACGGACGCAACACCATGGTGAGTTAGCCGGACAGGTGGTTGGCCCTATGGGGCTCGGTGTCGGCGTTCAACTCTCGGAATACGGCATTTACCCCCTATAAAATGCAAACGTGTGTTTGCATTACCAGGCCGGAGAGTTTGGCGGACAGGTGATGCATGGGGTGGGCCCCGTATTCACTCCATTTACCCCATAAAGTGCGTTGACTGTGCGCAACAATTTCCCGCGACTTTCCATGGGAATGGGCTAATGTGCATCCCTGTGAAAGATCCTGCAGACCCATATGATAATGGGAAAATGTGCCAGGGTGGATTCTCAATTTCTTCCTTCTTACAAAATCCACGAAAGACGCGATAAAAATAAAAAAGTACGTTTTTGGATTTTATCATGGCTACAACAGAGGGAGAGAATTTCCTCGGCATCCCATATACAAATTTCACCTGAAAATCCAGGTTATCCCGTCAACGAACTCGCTAACCCACCATCGAGCTCCTCCATTCAGGCGCGGCGAATTACCGGCGGAAAGCTCGAATCGTCCTAAATAAAAAACGTAAAAAGTGGACAGACGAATAAATGGAAGGAAAAAAAAGAAGGAATATTTACCATCCTGTGCCTCCACAGAAGTGAAGTACTCTCCCGTGGATATTCCCGAAAAATGTCGAGCTGCGCCGAGGCAAATATTTGCCCTGCCCATCGCGAGTGCGCCATGGGTACGGAGAGTGCCTGTAAACGGTAAAACAAATAAATTAATTAAACGACAGAAAAACATACCGATCCTCCCGCTGGGTGCCCCATGTGACCAGGGAGTGGCTCTTTTCCAGAGGAAAGGCCCATAAGGGGTGCCATGTCCCTCGCCTTACAACAAGGGGGGACAAGGAAAACTCCTAGGAAAATACCTGAAAGTAAATCAAAAATCGGAAATGAATAAATAAAACAAGTATGAGTTGGGGCATCCCATCGGCTGATCCGCCTAGTGAATCCTCGTCTGGCCAACCCCTGGGTGCATATTAATAATTAATAACACGCGACCGAGGGATCGCGGGGTTATATCACGGGACACCGTAAACCTCTCCCTCTCGACACGGGGCGGCGCGGGGCGGCGCGGGGCGGCGCGGGGGTCACGCGATACCAACACATTACTCCCTCCGATATATCGAACGACTACCGTTCGCCATAATCATTCGCATGGTGGCCACATACGCATACGTGACCGAGGAGCCTTCATCCCCGAGCAGTGCTCAGGTGTCACGAGCCGGCCATTAGATCCACACCGTGCACTCTGACCTCGGGAATGGCGTGCGACATGCCGGCCCTCCTGGACTATTCCAGTCATTGGTCATTCGGAGGGTGGGATTGCTCCCCGACTGCTGACACGGGGAATATTTCGTGCTCCCTGATTGCGGTTTGTGTGGAAAAGTTGACCGAGAGTACAAAATGCAATCGAAACTTGCTGGCCTCTTCTGGGTGGCGCCTTCATAGTCGCGAGAAAGGTGTGTGGGATGACTTCTTCCCCGATTCCCGGATACAGGGGATATTTAGAGCTGCGTTTCGCTTTATCGGGCCACGAATCGGCCGGAATTGCCCCGCAGTATTCGCGAATCGCGGCAGGAGCGTATCGGTGTGGGGTGTGCGTCGGGTGTGTCACGGGTGCGTGGCACCGCGCTAAACCGTTATCTCTCTTCATCAGGCAGCCGGGGAATAAACTAAGAGCCCCAGAGGGCGCGGTGTCTCAGGACCTGAGTGGGGTGGATCAGGGTGGAGGGCCTACACCCAAGGACTCGGGGCTCCACATCGCCGCGCGGTACACCCCGCACTTCCACGTACGCGCAGCCCCGTTTTGCCGGGTGGAGACGTAAACGGGCGGCCTCCTGTGTGTCGAGGAAGGCACTGCGTGAACCCTTCCACTCGCACACGGTAACGCCCGCGTATTCGGCTTCGCGTCAAAGTCACGCATTAAAGTGTCCCCGGCGAGGGAGTGCAAGTACACGAGTTCTATTCTCCAGCGGTCCAGCCGGTCGTAATCATCGGCACACGCAGCTTTACCCATCCACACGGTCGCGTTCCATCATCCGTTCGGCCCCCTCCGTAGCAAAGAGCACACCCCGTAGAGCAGCGAAGTCGCGTCGAAGACACGCATTAAGGGTGCCGAAGGGTGCAACACCCACATTTCTCCAGAGCCTCCCGGTCGGCGGCCATTATCCTGGATATTCCCGCGATATCGCAGTTGCATGTGCGCGGGGGCATCCAGGCAATATGGTTACACGGCTCACTAAAGTTAAACACGCTCCTTGCATAATAACGCGCACCCACACCCACCCCCCACCCGGGGTGCGTGCGGTGGCCGTCCATATCGACACGTCGACTACTTGCGTGGTTTGAGGCAGGGATATGCGCGTCCTCGCCGCATCCACTTGTCAAGTAATTGCGTTAGGTATTGACTTAGTTTTGGGTATGTGCCGCCGAGCGGGGGACCAGGTTGCATATTAATTATCCGGCAATTTCGCGTCTCCTGGCCGAGGACGTGGTCCGACTTCGCGAGGGGTGTTTTCGGCCACCCTGGTCTCTGGACTCCTGGAACTTCTGGGAACCCTTCCAATGCCTCTTCTGAAAGGGAAAAAAATTCTGTAATTAATTATTACACGGAGATTGCTTTTTTTTCCTCCCTCTCTTTGGCGGGGGGGGGGGGGGGTCGCCCAGGTTTGACGGATGGTCATTAATAATTCCCTGCGACGTGTCCGCGCCAGGATATCCGCGGGCATGGTACGGCTTATGAAGCTAAGAGGCGTATTAATTATTCCACAATTCCGTGTCCTCTGCCATTTGTGTCTACGTGATCTGACTCCACGGTTCCCCCTTCGTGGGGGGTGACTTGGGGTTGTTTAAATCGGGGGACGAAGGCGACGACTCGCACCCGTCGTTCCCTTATTTGAGACACGACGATCGATTATAGCTTTGCGTTAAATAAATCCACGGAAGGCAAGAATACCCAAAATCGGTTCAAATTCCGACGAGGGAAAATCCGTGACCCCGCAAATTGGGAAATTCGGGGTCGCGCTCGGCGTTCATCCCCCACAAAGGCGGGTGATTGCATTACAAAATCGGAA